GTGGGGAAAGGGCAGAGGGTGGGGTGGGAACCTGGTGGAGGGGGAAAAATGAGGAACTTTTGTAATAATATGAACAATAAAGGATTTATTTAAAAAAAAAATCCTTAGAGATCAACAGAAGGAATTGTAAGCATGCATATAAACATAACCAATGTATGCAAGACATGGGTGTGGGGGAAGGCAGATGAAGGCATATAGGGGGGGGGGGCAGGGGAGGCTAGGGGGAGGTCAAGGGGGGGGGAAGAGACATATATACTACTATTTGTAATGTTTCAAACAATAAAAAATGATTTTGTTTCTTAGAAAAAAAAGATAGAGGAATGTATGGCATTCTTTTGATGATTTTTTTCTAAGTGAGAAAAAAATGTCCTTAATATGGGGTTGTCATAAATTAAATCATGGAAATGAGATGTTATGAAAGGAGGAAAATTTTTCACTTCCTTTCTGAATGCAAATGATTTTGATTCAACAAGTTCAATGAGTCACATTGTAAGTCATTCTGTAGGTAATGATTTTTGACATACCTCATCCTTTTGGCTGCTACTGTAGATAAATTGAAATTGTACTATTTCTGAGTACTTGTTTACATCAATACTTTGGGTTGGGTCAGGGAATAATTATAGATAATACTTTCTATTTCTGGGCAGCCAGCTGTTCATGCCCGTAGGAAATATTTTCCCAGAAGTAGATTGGTGAGAATTTTCTTTTTACTTTATACAGGAAATGATTGAAACTAAAATTTTAAACAAGCCTTTAATATCAAAAATCTACTCTAAGATCCCCAAAGAATATACCGTATTTTCTGGCGTATAAGACTACTTTTGAAACCAAAAAAAGTCAACCGAAAATCGGGGGCAAAAGACCAAAATTGCACAAAAATTACCTGCAGATCTTGACGGCAAAGTAAGTCTTTTCTTTGAAGTGGGGGGTAGTCTTATACACCAGAAAATACGGGTAGGTGCATTGCTTTTTTTAAAAAGCATAATGCTGAAAATTAAAAAACAATGATATATTAAAAGATGTTTATTTGAAATTCTTTCTTTTTGCATAAAGACTCACCACAGAGTGCTTCTGTTTAACTAAGTGTCTTAATCAGTTCAGGCTGCAATAGCAAAACACCATATGCTGGGTGACAACAAACATTAATTTCTCACAGTTCTGGAGGTTGGGAAGTCTAAGATCTAAGTGTCTGCAGACTTAGTATCTGGTAAGAACCTTCTTTCTAGTTTGCAGGCCTTCTTGCTGTGTCCTCACTAGGGGAGAGAGGGAGAGAGAGAGACAGAGAGAGAGAGAGAGACAGAGAGAGAAAAGTTCTCTGGTTGTCTCTTCTTATAAATGCAATAATGCTGTCCTCATGACTTCATGTAAACCAAGTTACCTCCCCAAAGCTCCATCACCTAATATTATCATGTTGTAGGGCTTCAACATATGAATTTTTGGAGGACATAATATTTAGTCCAATACAGTAAAGTTGAAAAACACTACTTCTATTGTGTTTCCTTAACAAATATTATATAACACTAATATTTGTTAATGTTTTACAAATGTAAGCACATTTATTACTCATACCAACCCTGTAAGGTGAGAGCTATTGCTGGCCCTCTTTTACAGAAGGAAAACAAGGGCACAGAGAAAGTTAAATAAATTGTCCATAATCAGATAGCTAGATGGCATGTGAATGTGTAGCTGGGGTTAGCCTTAACAGCTTTTCCAAACTCTCTGCTCCTGAGGCAGGCCATGTTCTGCACATGTAGCTCTCCTCACAGCACTGGCAGAATATGTTGCCCATTCCAGAGGCCTGCATCCACTCTGGAAAAGCAACTTAACCCATCTACAATTTAATCTAAAAGGAGATATTGATGGTGAAAAATGAATCACAGTCATCCCTTCATATTTGTGGAGAACTGGTTCAAGGACAGGCTCTCCCCACCATGCTCAAGTACCCTTTTAAAATGACATAATATTTGCATATAATCTGGGTATATCATCCCATTTCCTTTATATCATATCTAGATTACATATAATACCTAACACAATGTAACTACCACGTTATACTGTATTGTTTAGGGAATAACAAGAAAAAATCCTGACATGTCAGTACAGACACAGCCATGGTAGACCTAACTATACAGCACATGTCAACAAAGACAGCAACGTTAATATATATATATATATATATATATATATATATATATATATATGTGTGTGTGTGTGTGTGTGTGTGTGTGTGTGTGTGTGTGTTTCTGAGGTTTGTTGATCTGAGGATGTGGAACCAGCAATAAGGAGGGCCAACTGTATCCAATGAGGTGGCTTCAGATACACAGATTTTGAAATGTTTTAATGTAATTCTTATAAATATAAATTAGCACATTGATAGGCACCCTGACTGGGTAGCTCAGTTGGTTAGAATGTCATCCTAATATGCTGTGCCAAGGTTTCAGATTTAATCTCCACTCAGGGCACATGTAAGAAACAGTCAGGGCATTTGCAAGAATTAACCAACGAATGCATAAATAAGTGGGACCACAAACTGATGATGTCTCTCTTCCTTCCTCTCTCTTTGAAATAAATACTTTTTAAAAAAAGTGTTTTGTTTTTTTAAAATACATTAATGACAATTTCTCAGGAAAGAACCACAGGAGGCAGGCAAATTCAGATGTCATGGAGTGGAATATACTAATTTAATATTTATATATTTCAAAGAACACATCTGTTTGCTGCTAGTGGAGTAAAGGCAGAAGTCTCTTTCTGGTGTCAATGGTCTTTTCTGCCCATGGAGAGCACTAGGAAAGTGGAGTTCCCGAGCCCACCAAGGCCCTCATAGCTTTTCAATTAGTGTCAGGAATGAAAAACAGCCTCCTGTACAACAAAAAAATGTTGCTCCTGGATTAGGAGATTTGGGAAAGTCCGAGAATTTCAAAGACAAGGAAATTGAGGGATTACAACATTGTTATCTCCAAATAAACTCTGAGTTAACCTCTTCAATGGTCTGCCCCATCATTCTTACTCCCCTGTGCCATGAAGAAAAACATGACACCAAGTGTGATTTATTTGAGCTCAGAGACACCAGGAATAAAACAAACACTCTTATGTTTAATCTGAGATGACAGATGTATCTTTAAGGAGTACATTTCTTTCAGAGAAGAATAAAAACCGAAGACCCAAATTCACCATTGGTGGGAATGCATATTGGTACAACCACTATGGAAAAAATAGTGTGGCGGTTCCTCAAAAACTAAAAAAATGGAATTGCCTTATGACCAAGCAAATTGCTTCTGAGAATATATCTGGAAAAAAAACCTGAAACACTAATTGGAAAGGATGTATGCACCCTTATGTTCATTGCAGCGTTAAATACAATAGTCAAGATCTGGAAGCAATCCAAGTGTCCATTATTGGATCAGTAGGTAAAAAAGGTGTGGCACATACAAAAAAAGGAATACTACTTGGCCATAAAAAATAATTAAACCTTACCTTTTATGACAGTATGAGTGGATCTAGAGTAGGGGTGTCGAACTCAATCAGAGAAGGGGCCAAAATCTAAAATCCAGCCTAAATCGCGGGCCGAATGGTTTACTGAACAGTCATAAACTGTCATTGTGATGGAAACGCAGCGGAGTGCAGTGATAACAACGTGGTTCAGGCCACATTGCAAGGCCTGGTGGGACGGATTTGGCCCTCGGGCCTTGTGTTTGACACATGTGATCTAGAGGGTATTATGCTAAGTGAAATAAGTCAGTCAGAGACTGACAAATACCATATGATTTTATTTATATGTGGAATCTAAAGAACAAAATAAACTAACAAACAAAATAGAAACAGACTCGTAGAGAGCAGACTGACAGCTTTCAGAGGGGCAGGGGTTAGAGGACTCAGAGAAAAAGGTTAAGAGATTAAGAAGTACAAATTGGTAATTACAGAATAGTTACAGAGGTATAGGTTACAGCATAGGGAATATAGTCAATCATCCTCAATAATTATGTATGGAGCCAGGTAGGTGCTTGAAACAGGGAGTGGGGAGACACTGTGAATTACACAATTTTCTAACTGCTATGCTGTATATCTGAAGCTAATACCAAAATATTGAATGTAAAGTATAATTGAAAATGTTTTAAAGTATATAAAGAAAATATAATTATGTTGAGTGAAAGAACTCAGACAAAAATGTAAATTTCATTAATCATTTATAAAGAGCTCTAAAAGATGCAAAATGATATAAAATGATAAAAAGATCAGTCATTGCCTCAACATAAGGCAATTGGACAAGAAGTGGGAGAAGATTGTAAAGGACTAATAGGAAACTTTCAAGAGGGACGGATATATTCATTCTTTTGATTGTGGTGGTTGGCGGTGTAAGAATGCCTATGTATGTCCATATTCAGAATAGTATTCACTTGAAATATGTGCAACTTATATTGTTTAATGGTTATATTTGCAATGCATGGGTATAGAGGTAAAAATCAGTGTAAGAAAACAAACTTCAAAATGCTTCCTTTTGAGAATCAATAGACCAGGTGGGCACTGGTAACCTATTTTAATAAAAACAAAATAACATTTTACATTAAAGAAAAAAGAAAAGGGGGATAGATAGATCAGAGAGGCTGTCATACCCCTCCTCTCTTCAATCCCAACCACTGGAGTTTCCCTGAGAGAAGTCCTTGTCGCCCCTGCAGAAGTGGCTCAGCCTCCACCTGGGTCTCAAGGTCTGAGGCTCCCGCCCAGGGCACTGGGGTCACAGGGCGCCCCGGTCACTCTGTCACCCTCTCCGGCAGCAGCTCCTGCGGGAAAGCGCCTCGCTCCCGCTTAGGGGATCGGGGCAGAAGAGGAACCTGGAGGAGTCCGCACAGTCACCTCGGGACGTCAGGCGAGTTCCGCACCTCCGGGGCGGGGCCCGAGCCTTCCGTGCGGACCCGAGGGGACGACGACGTGCGAGCCCCGGAATTTCCCCGGCCCTGCGGTTGCTACCTTTCCGCCTCGAACATGGATAAAAGGGGTTCGCCCGCCTAGGGGAGCCACAGATCTCACTCCACCAGCTCTCCAGCCACCAGCTCTCACACTCCAGACACCGCACGCAGCACCGATCCTCCGATCCTCCGAGCTCAGCCCCATGGCCCGCACCGCCACCGCCGCCTCTGCACCCCGCGCTCCCGGGCTCCTCCGGGCCGCGCTCCTGCTCCTGCTCCTGGTCGCCGCCTGCCGGCAAACTGCAGGTGAGACTCCGCCCTGGGCGCCCCAGGAGGAGAAGGGGGGTGATGGGTGGTGGGCGCCCATGGGGGGGCATCCCGCTAATAGAGCCTGTGGTCCCCGCTAACCTAGCCTGTTGTCTCCGCAGCGGCGCCCGTGGCCAGCGAACTGCGCTGCCTGTGCCTGGAGAACTTGGATAGAATTCACCCCAAGTACATCCAGAGTGTGAAGGTGACCTCCCCTGGACCCTACTGCGACAAAACAGAAGTCATGTAAGTTCACCAAGCTCTGCTCCTGCCACCATCCTTGTCACCCCTCCTGTCCAGATGCCCCCACCCTGGCCCTAGCCCACCCTCCTGTCTCACCTGGGTTCTCCCTTCTGCCTGCAGAGCCTCTCTCAAGAATGGACAGAAAGTTTGCCTCAACCCCGCATCCCCCCTGGTTAAGATGATACTGGACAAGCTGTTAAAGAAGTGAGTTATGTGACTAAAAGAGTCCTTTGGGACAGATGCTGGCATCTGCCTCCTGAGACTGTATCAGGGAAGCCCAGGGTTAGCTGAAGGAGGGACAAGACATTGTTTCACAATTAGATTTGCCACCACCGTCAGGAATGTGCTCTGGTGCCCTCCCACCCCCACCATCCCCCCTCCATCCTCTTTTCAAATGCGAGTGGGTGAATGGGTAGTCCTCTAAGGCTAAATAGATTCAGCCAATGATGCCAAAGGCCTGTTACCCATTAAGGACTATAACATGTTTGCATTTTGTTTTATTCTTCTTGATCTCTTGGGTCCCTGCTGAATGCCCAGGGTGATCAAGCCTAACTTTGAGCCTACTTCTGCCTGTTTCTTCCCTTCCGTTTCTCTTCCTTGGGAAGGAATATTTGACACTCTACCCTCCACACCCACCTTGAGAAACCTAGTTTTATATAAAATTCGGCTGCTTTTCACACTGAGAAGTGGAACCTCTGGTTTGAGACAACATGGGCCTGGGCAGTTAAATAGTGAAGAGCAGGGACTTTGATAGCAAGACCGTCGTAAGGTCAAATCTAAAATCTCTGGGAAAGTTTTTTAATCTCTTTGAGCCTCAGGGGGAAATGTTCTGTATGAGGATTACGTAGAGTCATGCATGTACATTTTTAGCCCAGTCTGACATAATCAAGTTGAGTCCACAGTCCCACTTCCTCAGTAAAAGAGCAAGCTGTCTGCTGTGCAGGGTAGAAGACACAGTGGGGTCTTCTGGGTGCAGGGTCTGGCCAGGGTCTGCGTGCAGCCGTTCCTCCGGCTCCAGGGGCCCTGTGAGGGAAGAGGGCTTTCTGTAACACCCATAACAATAACCCTTTTCTCACCTTAAGGGCAGCACCAACTGAGAGAGAAGAAGCTCAAGGTGGCAGTTCCTGAAAGGAGGTCCCTGCTCTTATAGGACTGAAATGAAGACAGAAACAGCTGGATTCCATAGACAACTAGAAAGAGATTACTGTTTTTATTGTTGTTGTTTTTTAAATCAGAGATCTATTTATTTATATATGTATTTATTTTCAAAGCTTGTATTTTAACATTTTAATGTATTTAAAGGTGTGAAACATGTGAATGTGTTTAATCAAACATAACTAGTTCTGATTGTTATTTAATTTGAAGATGAGGGGTTTTAAGCATCTCATCGAACTAGTATTTATTGAAAGATCATTACGAGCCAGGTGCTGTGATGGAAGGGGAGGGGGGTGTATGGGAGGGGAAAACCTAAGCAATTTGACAATGAAATAGATCAATGTTAGGGTCAGGGAAAGAATGTGCATATGTGTTTTTATACTTGTTTAAAAGAATGTCACTTGTTATTTATTGAAGCTATTTTATCACTCGGTCAACATTTTGATGTTGAAGATTCCTTTGGACATTTTATGTCTTGCTTGTAAGGCATAATGCCTTGTTTAATGTCATTCTGCAATGTCTCTCTTTGTCTTATAACAGAGAAGTTAAAACTACTGTTACATTTTTACAAATGGTGTCAAAATAAACGTTTTGCAAAATATAACATGTTTGGGTTTTGTTTTATCCTTCTTGACCTCTGGTTCCTCGCTGGATGCCCAAGGTGTTGTACAGTTGGATTGCAGATCATGCCTTACGTTAAGCCTCCTCCTGCCTGTTCCTTTCCTTAGAGGAGGGAACTACATTTCTCTTACTTATGAAGGAATATTTGACACATTACCTTCCCCACCTATTTTGAGAAGCCTAGTTTTACATAAATTCAGCTATTTTCCACACTGATCAATTCATTATTTAAAATTAGCACTTTATGAACTTCTAAATGTTCATAAATATTTTAACAAGACTCCTATTAAATGCTTTTGGTATGTGGTTTTTCAAACAAATATGCAATTTTTCCTTTTTAATGAGGCTGGGCGCAAAAGATGAAAAAGTGGGTTCCTCCTTAAATACTCAAACAATCTGTGTTATTTATAATATTAATATCCATTATTATCTATGGAGTTAAAATACACTCTAAAGTAAAATACATGACAAAGTAACAAAGGGCAGACAGGGAGATAAATAGACTTATATTTCTTCAATTGTTAGAGAAAAGTATTAAGTTTAGGAAAGTTGTAATGGGGCAAGATATATTAGCATTTTTAGGGCAACCTCTCAAAAGGAAATGCCAAACTTTGGATATAAAATTCTAAAAAGGAGATACAATGGAAAATGAGGAAATACCTCAATATTACAAAAGGTGACAAATGAAGAAATAAAGGAGCAGAACAACAGGTGATGCGAGAGAGAAGGGGCAAATCTTTGCTGAAGAAGCCTCGTACACCAGTGTCTCTCCTTCCGAAAGTGGAACTTAATTCCCTTCCTCCCGCGTGTGGGGGCCAGGTGGTGTGATTTACTTCCAAAGAAGAGATTAGGGGGAAAAAGGAAAAACAATAATGTTACAGTGGAGAATTTGGCAGGTACCACCTTAACCATGTGGTCGAGATTATTATCACCCATTGTGTTATGGTAATATAAGTACTCCCCAACATGATGTGAAGAGGAGGGCACTTCATCTCTATAATATTCTTCCCCAAACCTATAACCTCAGTATGATCATCAGAAAATCATCATGAAAAAGCCAAACTGAAGAACATTCTACAAAATCCCTAATAAGTATTCTCCGAAACTGTCAGTCATGAAAAACAAGACAATACTGAGCATCTGTCACAGATCCGAGAAGACAAAGGAAACATGGTGACTAAATCCAATATGGTATGCTGCATTGGATCCCAGAATAAGAAAAGGACATCAATGGGAACTTTGTGAAATCTTAGTGAGAGACTAGAGTTTAATTAATAACAATGTTATTAATTAAATACCAAATATATGTATTATAACTGTACCAATGTACCAATGTTAATCACCTACCTTTGATAAATGATAATTATACATTTTTTATAAATCTGAAGTTATTCAAATTTAAAGTTTATTTTTAAAAAGACAGGACAAATGGAATAGAAAGGCAGTAGACTGACTATAGAAATCCAACTATAATAAAAATTACAATAATTTAAATGGAACAAGCATCCCAATTAAAATTGATTTTTTTTTTTACTTTTTAAATACAGACTACAAAAACAAGACAAAAAAAGTATGCTGTATAAAAAGTCACCCTTTAAATATTAGATCTCAAATAGCTTGAAATTAAAAGAATTGAGTGTTCTATCATGCTAAAACTGACAGAAACCTAATATAGGTGTACTAATGTATTAATTACTTGTAATTATTAATCTATTATTGATATAAATTATTAGCATATTGGCTAATTTATATATTAATGAAAGCCTGATTAATATATTATGACACAAAGAAAGAAGTAGACTTAGAGATAAAGAAAGCTGATTTAAAATAAAACGGGGGCAATATTATAAGAAACAAATAATTCTAAAAGTTTATGAACCTAACACCATTTATTAAAAATACAGGCCGGCATTGTTCAGTGTTTGAGGGTCAACATATGACCCAGGAGGATGGGGTTCGATGCCCAGGTTGAGGACTAGATCCCCACTGTGGGAGATCGATGGTTCTCTCTCATCATTGATGTTTCTATCTCCATTTTCCTCTCCTTTCCTCTCTGAAATCAATAAAAAATATATATTTTAAGAATTTAAAAAAATATATATGAAGCAAATGGAGGGAAACTAAAAGGATCTATAGATGAATCCTTGGCCGTAGTTAAAGATTTTAGAAAACCTGTTTAAATATTTAATAGGCAAAATAATAAAGAATCAATAACAGTATAGAAGTGTTAAGCAACATGATCAACCAACTTGCAGGCGTCCTCAAACTTTTTAAAGTGGGGGCCAGATCACGGTCCCTCAGAGAGCTGGAGGGCCGGACTATACGAACTGCTAATTCCTACTGTAACACCTCGGCTGCGCTCACTGCCCAAAAAACCTGGCGGGCCGGATCAGACTCCTCTGTGGGCCGCATGTGGCCCGTGGGCCTTAGTTTGAAGACCCCTGGGCCCTGAGTGATGTATATAGACACTTCACTTAATATAGCACCTTTCCCCCCCAAAAAAAACACAGGGAATATTTTACAAAAGAAACATATATGGACCATAAAATGTGTATTGACCAATTTCAAAATGTTGAAATATTTAAGCATATGTCATAGTACGTTTATAACTCATCTCTCAACTTCCTAAAATTTGCTTTCATTATACAGGAAGCATCAAAACAGGGTCATCATGCTGTTTCCATGCGTGTTATAACTAAGTGTGATAAAGAGCATTTCCATGAAGACATTTCCTCATTTCCTATATCTATTTCTTGACATTCTTTTGTAATGTTGGCATTCCTTTTTTCTTTGGTTTATATTATTTGTAATGCAATTACTCATTACTACTTCCACAAAAGTTTTAAACAAATCTTAAGTGGAAAGAGAAAGTTTATATTGAAATCCATTCTTTTCAAAAGCCTCAGAATAATGCCCAAATCTAATATACTGGATGGTGCTCAGAGATAATTGAAATGGATTTAAGCAATTATACAATAGATGGCTGGAATCAGCAGATGTCTTTACTATAGAAACAGGAGGAAAAGACTAGCTGTGATCCCTTAGATTTTTTTTGTGTGTGTGTGGGTTTGGACAAAACTAAAAACTGTGGACCCCCTGAGCCCAAGGTAACCTTCCCTCTCCCCAACAGCTCCAAAATAACCACCAGCTCCTAGTTCATAGATTCATCAGCGCCCTCTAAGCACAGGAGGAGGTACACACACAGGGATTACTAGATCTCTCTGGAAGTTCCAGAATTTCACAGAGAAAGGAAACTATAGAACTGGGACACTTTGTCCTAGATAAAAAAAAACCTCACCCCTGATATAACACAAAGTGTGATTTAACTGTGCTTGTAAAATACCAGATGGACAATTTTATGTATAATCTTCTGTATCGTCTGAGAAGACTGAGCTACCTTCAGAGAGTGCCTTTATGCAAAGGAAAATAAAATCGACCAGTCAGAAGTTACTTAGGCGTACGTAATCCGGAAAATTCAGTCCGTTTCCCCCTCCACACATTCTTTCAGAATGCTGCTGTTAGATTAGCGTTCCCAACGGGTGCTGTCTCCGATAATAAGTGACATCCGCTCTTACTAAGCCACTGGCTCCCGCACTGGGAATTTGGAAAGAGAACCTCACAAAGCCCGCCAAGTCCCTGGGGAGGCCAGGCGGAACCGCACCCCAGATCCTCCTCCCTCAACCCCAACCCCCCGCCCCCCGCGACCGGGAACGACCTGCAGGTCCGGGAATTTCCCAGGTCCTGGGGTTGCCCGCTTTCCGCCTCGAGCATGGATAAAAAGGGTTCGTCCGCCTCGGGGAGCCACAGATCTCGCTCCACCAGCTCTCCCGCCACCAGCTCTCACACTCCAGGCTCCGCACGCAGCACCGATCCTCCGATCCTCCAAGCTCAGCCCCATGGCCCGCACAGCCACCGCCGCCTCTGCACCCCGCGCTCCCGGGCTCCTCCGGGCCGCGCTCCTGCTCCTGCTCCTGCTCCTGGTCGCCGCCTGCCGGCAAGCTGCAGGTGAGACTCCGCCCTGGGCGCCCCAGGAGGAGAAGGGGGGTGATGGGGTGGTGGGCGCCCATGGGGGGGCATCCCGCTAACCGAGCCTGTGGTCCCCGCTAACCGAGCCTCTTGTCCCCGCAGCGGCGCCCGTGGACCCCGCAGCAGCGCCCGTGGCCAGCGAACTGCGCTGCCTGTGCTTGGAGAACTTGGATAGAATTCACCCCAAGTACATCCAGAGTGTGAAGGTGACCTCCCCTGGACCCTACTGCGACAAAACAGAAGTCATGTAAGTTCACCAAGCTCTGCTCCTGCCACCACCCTGTCACCTCCACTGTCCAGATGCCCCCACCCTGCCCCTAGCCCGCCCTCCTGTCTCACCTGGGTTCTCCCTTCTGCCTGCAGAGCCTCTCTCAAGAATGGACAGGAAGTTTGTCTCAACCCCGCAACCCCCCTGGTTAAGATGATACTGAAGACGCTGTTAAACAAGTGAGTTATGTGACCAGAGTCCTTTGGGACAGATGCTGGCATCTGCCTCCTGAGACTGTATCAGGGAAGCCCAGGGTTAGCTGAAGGAGGGACAAGTCATTGTTTCACAATTAGATTTGCCACCACCATCATGAATGTGCTCTCCTCACCCCCCCACACACACACCCTCCCCCTCCATCCTCCTTCAAATGCGATGGGTGAATGTGTCTTCCTAAAAGAGTAGGTGGATTTGGCCAATGATCTCAAATGCTTCCTGCCCATTAAGGAACAATGCTGTTCGTCTAGGCTGCTTTAAGGCGGAAAAGTGGAACCGCCTGATTTGGGGCAACACGGGCTTTTAAATCTTAGTGGTGATGACTAAGGACTTTACAGGGATCCTCTGCTCCAAAAGCATATCTAGGCTATTTTTTACTATTCCTATACCAGGGAGAACGTATTTAATCCCTTTGAGTCTCAATGATATGGGGGAAATAATAATATCTACTTCATGGGGTTTGCTATCAGGCTGAAGTGATGTTACGCATGTACTTTTTTTTTTAGTGTAACATTATTTTCTGGCTTTTTGAAGCTAATAATACAAGTGTGGCCACAGGTCCCTTATTCCTAATTAACCAGCATCCAGTAAGCCTGGCAGTTTGTATAAAGTTAATTGGCTAATTTGAAAAAGCTCCTAGTTACCCAGCTAAGCTTCCGAGTCTAATAAGCAACCATTTTCTCATCACAGGGCCAGCACCAACTGACCTACGGAGAAGGAGGAAGCTTTATTGTGGGGTCCTCAGTGGAATCGGAGTGAAAGAAGAGACGCAAAGAGCGCCTGAGGCCACCTGTGTTTAATTTGTTTGACTATTTCTTACGAGAGTTCTATTTATTTACACGTGAATGTATTTATTTTTCAAAGATCTATCTAATATTTAAAGGCATGGAAGTGTCTGGTATTTGCTGTACTGTTATTTTACATGGTCATGTTTATGTCACATCAAAGCTGGTTCTGCCTGTTATTTAATGGATGATGATGCATTTTAAATGTTCTCCACTCAACTAATATTTTTATTTGGCTGGGTGGGTTTTTCCACCCACTATGATAAAGGCTGGAGATAAATAGTGGGGTTTTCAAGCAAATAGGTCACAGGGAAATGTTCCGTGTACATCTGTTTTTGTACCGTTGAGAAGAATGTCAGTTGTTATTTATTGAAACAGTTTCACAGTATGTGGTCAACATTTCTGATATTGAAGGAACTAACGTTCTAAATATCCCTTGGACATTTTATGTCTGCCTAGTAAGGCATAATGCCTTGTTCAATACCAAGTATGCATTGTTTCTCTCTATCTTGGAATAGAGAAGTTAAATATTTATGGATGTGTTTTTACAAATAAGATAAAAATAAAGATTTTTTTACAGAAACTTCTTGCTTTGGTTTGTTTTAATATAGTGATGTCTTGTTCCTCCTGAATACCCAAGTGCTGTAAATTTATAATAGACTGTAGCTCACACCCACTACACGGCTGATATTGGCTGGCACTTCTCTTAGTTTCACTCCTGGTGATGAAAGCTTAATTGATACATTTTGAAAGTCCTGCAGGCCCTCACTTTAAGAATCCCTGTTTTAGCCCTAACTGGTTTGGCTCAGTGGATAAAGTATCGGCCTCAAGGGTCCCAGGTTCAATTCCAGTCAAGGGCATGTACCTTGGTTTCGGGCACACCCCAGTAGGGAGTGTGCAGGAGGCAGCTGATTGAAGTTTCTCTCTCTCATTAATGCTTCTAACTCTATATCCCTCTCCCTTCTTCTCTGTAAAAAAATCAATAATAAGAAGAAAAAAAATCCCTGTTTTACATAAAAGATTCATTATATTTTAGTGTAAACAATCTGTTACTTATTCCTGGCTGTTTAAAATATTTCAAATGTTTATACATATTTTAAAAGAGCTCTCCATGAAATTAAGATGTAAAATTGTTTTTCAAACAATTATACATCCGATTCCCTCTTACTGAAGCTGGAAGCTAAGTTGAAAGGCGGATTTGTAGTAGGAAGGTCAATAGGTCTGAGTGCTCAGTGCAGGAAAGACGGGCCAGCTGCAGTGGGTCACCAGCAGGAGAGCCCCTGGTGCCCAGCAACTGTCAATACCATAAGCCCTTGTAAGACCATTCCCTGAGCGTGAATCCCTGGGCCTGGGAAATTCTGGACTGGCTCCAGGCCCAGAAAAACAGCAAAACCAGGCTAAACAAGCCTTGGCTGACCTCAGGACCAGCTGCAATGACCAATGCCCCAGCACGACTGACCAACCAGTGGAGACCATGATCCTGTGGAGACACACCAGGAAAGCTAATGGATATCTTATTGAGATCTTCCTCTGAGATCTCAGATAAAGGCCCTCAGGACGCAGGGCCCAGAGTGGCTCTCTCTGTGGAGCACACCCTTGCCTTTCTCTTTTCCCCACGCCCTGTCTTTTCCCAGGACTGATCTATCTCCCTCTCTCTCTCTCTCTCTCTCTCTGTCTCTCTCTCTCTCTCTTCCTGTCTCTCTCTCCCTCTCTCCTTTTCCCTCTCCCCCCACACAAGCTCTAAGGCAGCGTTTTTCAACCGCTGTGCCGCGAGAGGTTGCCTGGTGTGCCGTAGGTGCAGACAAGACAAGAATTTTATAATTTTTCACTATTTTGTTTACTTAATATTTCATAATAAAGTAATTATAAAATACTTTCTTTGTGTTTATTTGATTCCTATTCAAGAGAATTACTTTATATATAGTCAATATAGGCACAGAGTTAAATTTTTTAACATTTTCTAATGGTGGTGTGCCTCGTGATGTTTTTCATGAAACAAGTGTGCCTTTGCCCAAAAAAGGTTGAAAAACACTGCTCGAAGGGACCTTCTTTTGCTGTACCTTGTTTCTTGAGTCCATTTCTTCTGTGGCGCACTTCTTTAACATCAGTGACTTTTTAAGGAAACTTGAGTCTTGGCTCTGAATTCTTCTCTTAGCCACAACTCAAGAATTGTGATTGCTGAACTGCATTAACACCTGGTGCTATTTTCCTACCACTAACAGATTCTTCCTCAGAACTCAAATAATTTGTGCAATGCAGGGGCAAAAGTAGAGTAAAGCGAGTGGTGGAGGACTTCCTCTAGGTAAATCGTCTAGTAGAGAAGGGTTTCATTTCCTAGCCTTCATGGAAAGATAACAGTCACAAGTATAATGCTGTTCCAGTGATTCACAGATATACTAATTTGATTAGATGTTTCTAAATCTGTAAAATTGAATTTACATTGCCCCAGGATGGCAGGAACACATCTAGCTTTCACAATAGACCCAAAGGCTGGCACCTAATGATAGGGGAAAGGAAAGATCTGAGTCACCTGGAAAAGGAGGGAAGTTTGTGCATAAGTTGGGAGGGCCAGCTAGGTGTTTGCTTGTCTCTGACTCAGCACCTTTTCCTGAGTCCCGTGCCAGCCTTCAGTAGGAGGAAAACGGTGGGTGCATGACCAAGCTTGTCCTGAACATCTGGGTACAGCTACTCTGAGTCTCCTTGTCCTACCCTAAAAATTCATTATAATAGTTTCTTCATAGCCCTAACTGGTTTGGCTCAGTGGATAGAGCGTCAGCCTGAGGACTGAAGGGTCCCAGGTTTGATTCCAGTCAGTCAAGGACATATACCTTGGTTTCAGGCACATTCCCAGTGGGGGGTATGCAGGAGGCAGCTGATCAATATTTCTCTCTCATCAATGTTTCTAATTCTCTGTTCCTCTCTCTTCCTCACTGTAAAAAAATCAATAAGATATATTTTTAAAAATAATAATAGTTTCTTCATGAAAGGGCAGGGCGGGGCGAGGATGAGCTCCCAACTCCGCCCCGTAGGGCGGAGTTATCCCTAGCCCTCAAAACCCCTGGACTGGGAGAAATTCGCTCTCTTCCGCCATGCTGCCGGCATGAGTGGGAGGAGCCCATTGCTAGCATGGTACAGGCTCTTTTGTTTATTGCATCGGACTCGGCTCCCTGGTGGTCCTTGGGGATCACGAAGTATGGGCACAACACTTCATAAATGCAATGGTATTTTCTCAGATTTATAATTTGTAAATTGTAGGAGGTGAACAAATGCAAACCATTCTGGAAGCTCCATAAAAGCTAGCACTGATTCCTTTCTTAACCCCTTTAGGCTGTGGGAAATAAAACTTCCTTGGATTCCTCTTGTGCAAAGTCCCAGCTTCTTCACATACTATAAATACTAAATCTGCAGCTATTTGTCCAGTTAATTGCTCTGATCCTAACAGATAATAAAACTTCTGTAATCTCTCCCATAAGGACCCATTGGTTACCTCTCGGACTGTTAATGGTGAATCAGAATCAGATGTTAGACCTTTGTCCTTGACTTTGGGCTAAGAAAAAATTCAGAGGCAAGGCTCAAATACAAGAAAAAGGTTATTTAGAATGTCACAGAGGCAGAAGTGAGCCAGGGAAGTGAGCCACACACCTGTGCCTTCCCTACCCCCACTCCTCCCTTACCCCCCTCCTCCCAAGCTTGTTTCCTTTGCCCCAGGGGTAAGACCTGAGGCAAGCAGGAAGTGACACACATTCATTGTGAAATGTGTCTTCTTGTGTGGATTCATGATAAAAATTTAAAACACAAATATTAGAAACTTAACATAGGCTTTGTTAACTTGGTGAATGCAGAAAAGGATGAAGGAGATGGAGTTATTCATAGAGTGACTGAGAACATAAGCTATGAAGAATTAGACTGCTTGGGGAGTTGTTTTTAGTTCCAACACCTTCTAACTGTGTTAATTTGAGGTTATGTTTTTGGTTGATTTAAATTTCATTTCTCCTTTTGTTATTCTCGGGATTAGCTAGTTTATTAATATTAATAATTGGAGGAGAGCAAAGAGAAGACCATTGTAAACATGGTCATCTGGGCAGCTTCACCAGGAAGCTACAGCTTCACTCTCTTCAGGAAACCACCAGCCCATTCATTCCCTGCAGATCACTGGGGAAGGGATTGGACAAAGGAGCAGATAAGTGGGTGCACACCCAATGAAGTCAGGGTGACATAAGGAAAGTGCTTGCTTGTCAGTTTAGCCTCAGGAACAATGGATTGGCTAGGGGGTAAACCCCATCAGATAGGAAATTCTAAAAAGTTAATTGGCTAATTTGGGAAAGCTCCTAGTTAAAATCCCCAGAGTTTCCTCTTGTTCATTCCTTCCTCTTCTGTCTTGCTCTCTTGCTCTCCTTGGCTCCATGGCTGGCACTCTCTCCAGAGCCATGTGGACTTAAGCATCAGCATGGCCATGGCCATCGGGATCTCACACGCAATGGACTGCAGCTGGGAACACAAACTAAGCTAGTCTGAGGCTGGACTGTACTGGACTTTAATATGGAACCAAAATTCTGGAAAGTGGCCTTAATTTTGGCCCTGCTGAAAACAAAACTGGAATTCTTCCACAGCAAGGTGGATAGGGATGGGGCCTTGGAGGGGAACCCTCTTAATCTTACGTCATCATTAAAGCTTTCCATGAACCCTAATCCTCCCACGGGGGCCTCAGGCAGTTCTTTTCCTCAAAGCTCCCTAAACTCCGCTTCTACCCATAACACTTGCATAAAAGAGGTGGACTAATAGAATCTCCTTTTTGTACTTTTTCCTAGAATTGTGAGTTATAATTTAAATAAAGAGCTAGACAGTTCATAAGAAGTAATGGTTTGCCCCCTATGAGTAAAATCATAAACAATTAAATTTTTAGTTTTGTTGTTTGAATATGAATAAATTTGAATATGAATTTATTTGAATATGAATAAATGAGATGAAATATAAATAACTTCATTATCTCACTGTACAATACAGTTGTGAGTTTAACTTATGATGTTTTATACATGACTACTATTCCATTTTATGACATCAATGTTTCCTTATCTGCTCCACTATTAGGTTGAAATCACAGTTTTGCTATTATGAAAAATACAGCTCTCAACATTTCTGTACTGGTCTCCTGCTACACATGTCAGAGATAATCTAGGACAAAAATATAGGAAGGGAATAAATGGCTCTCGGGGTTTGCACATCTTTAACTTCACCAAAGAATACTATTGTCCAAGTGGTTGTACAGATTTATTTCTCCCAAAGCAATTCATGAAAGTTCCTCTTCCTCCATCTATTGGACAACACTGGAATTGTCAGACTTCAGATTATTGCCAAATTCTATATAATGCTATCTTATTATGGTTTTAATTCACATTTCCGTTTTTGCTTGCTTATGAGCCATTTGTATTTTATTATTTGTGAAATTTTATTTATTTTTCCCATATGTTCTGTTCTTTTCCATTTCATAAAAGCTTTTTTTTCAAAACATTTTGTCTATTAATCATTTGTCACATATATGTGGCAAAATGTTGCATGTGTGGTGTTTTTTAAAATAAAGTTTTA